TGGTAGATTTCAGCCCCGCTTAAGGCATTAGCTGGCGGAGATTATCCCACCAGCTCGGTCACTGGCAGCACGCACCCTCTCACACAATCGCCCCCACTGACACGTGGCTGATGTCCGGCCTCGCCCCCACCCAGGTCCAGGTACAAACCTGGAAATACGACCCGGGTCTTTGCTTTATTTAGTTCAGATGTGCAGCAGCTTTTTATGATGTTTCCTTCTAGCAAACGCAACCTTTAATCAAGAATCATCGACAGCTAATGGGGCCAGGATTTGTTTCTTATACTTATGACCCTCAATTCATTCATTCATGCTGTGTTGAGCATGAGAATGTTATCGTATTATGATTTTATAGTTTTTATTGACGTGTTTTATCTTCTTATTGTTTTAATCGATCCTGCCTGTTCAGCACCTTGGTCAGCTCTCACGCCGTGTCTTAAATTGTGCTATAGAAATAAAGTTGGTATGGCGTGTTCTTATTGGTTAATCCTTTCTGCGCTTTGCTACAGCTGCGTCCTATCTCACGTCGTTGGTCACTGTTGTCCATTTCTGAAAGGCAGGTTTTTAATCAAACTCGGAGAAGCTGAGGCATTTACACCTGAGAATGAAACTCAGGGGGTTTTACTGAATGTTACTCCAGCTTCTCCAGAGGACCTCAGCAGCAGTATCAGTTCTGTGGAATCAGACTACTTTACAAGTATACTCGACCGTAGTATCAGACTGATACCTGCTGCTGTATCCACCAGCAAATCCTTATTAAAGAGAAAGTTCACAGAGAAATCAGCTTTTATTTCTGATCTCTGCTTCGACTGTCTGCATCCTGTTCAGATCCCTTTTGTATTCCTGTCTATTCTGGTTTTGTACAATTAACACGTTGAATTTGACACTTTATTATTATAAAACACTGTACAGAGCTCCACTTGTTTGATTTATTTTCACTATTTATTCCCTCTCCCACCTAGACGGCCAGAAGGACGCAACAAGATTAAAACATCTGTAAATGTCAAATGTTGATTCAATTCAATTCAAAAATACTTTATTAATCCCAGAGGGAAATTATTTGCTGTAGTAGCTCAGAATAATAATAATAATCAAGTCATCAAAGAGTTGTTGTATATTACGATGGCTGTTGGCAGGAAGGATCTCCAGTAGCGGTCAGTGTTGCAGCCAAACTGAAGAAGCCTCTGACTGAAGACACTCTTCCGTTGTTGGACAGTGTTGTGAAGAGAACGCTCAGGGTTGTCCGTCATTTTCTTGATTCTCTGGATAATCCTTCTTTGCATTTTCTCCTCCAGCGGTTCCGAAACTGCCGAAACTCTGGCTGAGTCCTTGAAAGGGCTTGAAGTTCCTCCATCTTGTTGGTCAGTGATCTCACATTGCCCATTATGATCGATGGAAGAGATAGTTTGAATTTCCTCTTTCTCTGTCTCCGTTTTGCTCCCGCTCTGCACCCACGCTTCTTGCGTTTTAGCTCATTTGGGATTTTGTGGCTTCAGTTGAGGTATTATTTCAGCCTTTCCAATGTTAATCAGCTGCTCCCGATTGTAAACCAGCTTGTTGCCATGGTTACGCATCATAACAAATGCTCAAAAAGTGAAAAAAGCTAAAAAATAGCAGCAGAAATCCTCCAAGCTTCACAGCACCAGAAACAGAAAAGTAAAGTGTCCAAAAAATACAGTTTTTCTTGAGAAACTAGAAGAGAAAATGCCCAAGAAAAGGCAAAACCCACATATAGTCAACAGAGCTACTCCAACATGCAGCCGCCCAGAGCAGCGTATTTCCGGAAAAGCTGCGTGGAATCATCAAAAAACATCTTTGTGATTCTAGAGGCTCCTATAATAATAATAATAATAATAATAATTAGTGGTGGTGGTGGCGACCTCGTGCACAGTCTTGGAAGGTTCTTGATTCGTTTTTGAGTCGGGTTCGTTCTCTGATTTATCTTCATCTGTTACTTCCTGTTTGGGGTTTCAGATCACAGCTCGGCGCTCCATAGATGCGGTTGACAGATCCTTCATGCATGATTTGATTCTGATAGAAGCTTCTCCCGAGGGGCTTGTTAACAAACCTGAAGCAGAAATAAAAGCTCGACTGGATTCGTTGAGTGTTGCGCTTTTATCTACTCGATCAGACCCAAATAATTGCCTCCTTGGGATCAGTCGCACAAATCACACAGCAATTATCAGGAAACAGAAACTGTCCATCGACCAGCAGACGTAAACGGATCAGTGCCGTCCGTCACTCTGCTCGTCTGGAGAAACACCAGATATTAAAGGTGTGGTTCTGATTCTAACTGGTCACTCTGTGTGTTTTATGCAGGCTAAACATGAAAATAGTCTCCTACACCTATCTCCTGCAGTAGCTTCTGGTAGAAAACAGATGGTGAAACTCTAGGATAGAAAATCCTGACAGAGCTACGTCACACTGTCACTTTCATTCATGGACTCACCCATCTGGACACACGACGGGGAAGGCTGTTGTTGGTTTAGCGTCCAGGAAACAGCAGAGAACGTCTCTGCTAGTAGAAGCTAACCGTTAGCATTAGCAATTCCACCACACAGCAGAACTCCTCCAGGCTTGTGTTATTTGTGGAGATAAAACATCAACGTTGCAGAGCAAACAGAGTCAGTGGTAGAGTTGTGTTGCTTTAGCCAATCAGAGGAGAGATGCCCACACATCAGGAAATAAGCTCAGCTGTGATGCGGCTTTCTAGTTCCTGGAAACGGTGCATCTGTAGAGCCCGCTGCAGATGTACTGATTCAGTGAGTGTTCCACAACTTTGCTGCAGTGGGTGTTTAGTCGGTCCTCCGTTCAGCATCAGGTGTCTGAAAACCGGTTCTGACGTTTCTCCTCTCATACGTTAGGATATGTGGACGGCTAAGCAGCTGCTTCCTCAGGAGAAATGCAGAGAGCTGGTGACTCCAGCAGTCACTGAGCGAGAGGCGGGGGACATCAGTTTCACCCCAGCATCACTCACTCATTCACTCACTCATTATCAACAAGCAGCTCAGCTCTGCCCCTTTCAGATGAAAAACTCCGGATATTTCAGGGTTTTCATGGTCAAAGGTGATAAAACCTGAGAACTAAAAAACCTAACAATATGTTGATTCAATAATTGGGGATTCATTTTTTATTGATGACTCTTCACTTCATTTAAAACTGAAATAATCTATGTTAGCAAACCGGCATCACTCCATTTTTCCACTTAGTGGATTCTCTCTCTCTCTCTCACACACACACACACACACACAGAAGCGCTATCAGGGCCCAGTTGGCCCACGACCAACGAGGTCACCGGGTTTCCTGTGAGCCGACCTGAGCAGGACAATCTGCTCTCCTCCAGAGACAATTGTCCTGTTAACAGTCTCAATGTCTCACCTTTAACCTTTGCTGCTCCTCCAAGTGATTAAATTAAATCAGTGATTATTTTGAGGGCTCTTGAATTGCACACATTGGTCTTTGTGCTTATGATAAGAAGTGTGTGAGAATATGCTAACGTATGTAGCAGACGCTTTTGTCCACCTTACAGGTGATAATGAAGCAGCAGGTTGCCCTTGAGGCTAACTACAAACACTAATCAGTCCCAGTGAGGCAGCATGATGAATCCTAGAGGGAAGTGAACATGGAGTGGACAGTAGAGTGGGGGACGGGTGCTAGTTTAGAAGAGCAGGGTCTTCAGGAGTTTCTTGAAAATCAACAAGGAAGCCGCTGTTCTGGTAGAGCTTGGTAGGTCATTCCACATCTGTGGAATGACGCATGAAGAGCCTGGATTGTCCTGAGCGTGGTGTAGGCACGGCTAGCCGACCATCCTTTGATGACCGGAGCGGCCGGGCCGTGATGAAAGCCTTTACAAGAGGATTCAGGGAGATGGGAGACATACCATCCAAGACGTTGTATGCTAGTGCTAGCCATTTGAATTTGATGCGTGCAGCTAGCGGTAGCCAATGGAGCTCAATGGTCAGAGGGGTGACATGCTCTTTTTGGCTGATTGAAGACCAGACGCGCTGCTGCATTCTGGACTGTTTGAAGAGGTCTCACAGTCCAGGCTGGAAGACCAGTTAGAAGGGCGTTGCAGTAATCGAGGAGGGAGCTGGGTGGCATGTTGTGTTAGGTATGGTCTGATCTTTTGTATGTTATACAGCGCAAAGCGGCATGAACAAGCAACAGGGTCATCAATCTCAACACCCAAGTTTCGAACTGCCTTTGAAGGAGCCAGAGACGGAATCATTTTGGATTGAGAGTTTGTGCCGTATGGATGGTTTCGCTGGGATGACGAGTAGTTCAGTTTTAGAGAGGTTGAGTTGAGATGGTAGGATTTCATCCATGTTGATATGTCAGAGACAGTCCGAGATTCATGCAGAGACTGTGAGGTCACCCTGCAGGAAGGACAGATAGAGCTGGGTGTCGTCGGCGTAGCAGTGGTAGGAGAAGCCATGTGATCGAAGGATCTCACCTAGTGAGGTGGTGTATATGGCAAAGAGAAGAGGTCCTAGTACAGAGCCCTGGGGGACTCAGAGCGAAAAGAAAGAGCGAAAGTAAGAGAGTAATAGCTTTTCTATGCTAATACTATATTATTTCCTTAAATTATATCAAACACACACACACACACCCACACACACACACACACACACACACATGTGTTTATAACAGAATCTTTGATGACAGTATACGTTTTTTAATAATATTTCTCTAAAAGGAACTCTTCTGTTTCACTGATCGTTTCCAGCAGCATAGAGCTCCACAGCGCCATCTGGTGGGGCCTGACTAAACTGGCCCCTGCAGAGATATCGCTGATATGTAGAAAAGACATGAAGTTACTTACTATTTACTATTTTTAATGAGTTTTTCCTCATAGGTATGATTGGTTATGTATTATTTGCAAGTTTAATTTTACTTGTTCATTATGCAAATTTACATCAGAGGTACCAAAGTGACATCTGACCTACTGAGGCAGACAAAACCGACTTGTGACTAATCTTCCGTTTCCCTTTTCTGTGTTTCAGTTAAGAAAGCCAAACTTCATGGGCCACAAGGTAAGATGTATATCTGTTTTTTTAGAAACACTTTTAGAGAACGTTGTCAATGAGTGCGTTTACATGCAGCCAGTAACCCTTTTAAAACCCGAATATTCACAATAACCCGGTTCCGCAGGCCCATGTAAACACCGCCATTTAATTGTCACATCGCAATTTAATTGCACATGAAATTAATCGTTCAGCCCTAATATACATGCAGCTCTATGCTAAAAGTGTATTTTCAAAGAGGTAATGATGGATTTCTTTGTAAAAGTTGTCCATCTTTCCAACAGAAAAAATTGCCTGGACCAACGTAACGTGATAACAACGTAACGTGATTACGTGATTTCCGTAAGGTTCATGTTCAGCCAATCAACTACTTTGACGTCATCGGCAGTCGAAGGACCCCGAGCCGATCTTGCACCGACACCTGCGGTTGCAGCTGTAATGTAGAGCTTTGAAACTGGGTTTCTTATTAGTGGTATTCCCTCTCAACTCACAAAATACCTTTCATAATATTTAGTTATTAACTATCTGGACAAACATCCAAGTGTAATCAGTAAATGGGCACTGAAGGCCCAGTTCCCAAATACAGGACACCACAGCTAAAATCACGTTATCATGACCTTTATGGGTTTAAAGGGCCGGGTCATTTGCTCCGCCCCCTGCCTGGCTCTGATTTGTTCCGCTAGTGGATTCTACAACCCCCCAAGGTGCTTTATTCACCCATTCACGTGCTGGTGGTGATGAGCTACATTGTAGCCACAGCTGCCCTGGGGCACACTGACAGAGGCGAGGCTGCTGTACGCAGACGCCACCGTTCCCTCTGACCACCACCAGTGAGAAGAAGTGTCTTGCTCAAGGACACAATGGCTGTGACAGACATGGCTCCAACCTGCAACCCTTCAGACAGCAGAATCACTTATTTCTAACACAATAGGACACATTTCTGCAGTTTTTGATTTAATCAGATGGTGTGTTTACAAAATAAAATAAATGTGTTTGTGAAACTGAAGCAGCATCTGTTCTGTGGGAGTCTTTTCTTTGGGTTTTGAAGCTGGGAAACAGTTTCTGATTCTCCAAAGTGTTCTCTGGGGCGAAGCATGTAAAGTGAAACATGGGACCCCCTCACCTTCTTCTGAAACTGGCAGCAGCTGCTCGTTGCTCTGGGCGACGGCGGGCAACAGCCTTCGGTGGAAGAATAAGAAATCAAGAGGAGAAAAATCAATAGACCATCACAGACAAAGGGCCACCTGCTAGCCTGAAATGACAACGTGTCATTCTGACATAAAGGAGAAGATGGTGGAAAATGTTTTCATGACTTTCCAGATGAGGAACTTTTACTGCTGGCTTTTGTCTGTAGAGAGGATTTCAGCAGCTCTTCTAAAACGGGACAAACTCTGAAAATTGCTTCAAACTTTTTAGCTTAGCTTAGCTTTTAGATTTATGACCCAGTTATTATTTCTCAAAATATACAGAAAATTGTAATTCTACATATGTGTGTGTGTGTGTGTGTGTGTGTGTATATATATATGTGCGTATATATATATATATATATATATATATATATATATATATACATATATATATATATATATATATATATATACACACACACACAGACATAAATATATATGTGTGTGTGTGTGTGTGTGTACACACACCTATATATATATATATATATATATATATATATATATATATATATATATATATATATATATATATATATATATATATATACATACACACATTAATGTGTGTGTGTGTGTGTGTGTGTGTGTGTGTGTGTGTGTGTGTGTGTGTGTGTGTGTGTGTGTGTGTGTGTGTGACAGCCCAGTACATGTCAGCTGGCCCAGCCCCGCTGCGCATGTCTGTTTCATTGAATATAACTTAATTTTCAAAAGTCGCTGCTTAATTATAAATGAAGCCCAATTCCCAAGATGCCCTGCTGCATGCTGGGATATCCTCTTAGTAAGAGCTGATGTGTTTATCAGCATTTGTGTCACCTTTGACATCATCATGAGTCCTGCTTTATTTTCTCCTCTTATTGTTGAGGATTGTGTTATTTTAGCTCCCTGTAAGGACCTGCGTGGTAGACCTGTTGTTCCTCTTGTCCCACAGAATAACAGACACAGTTGAAAGTGAATGATGGATTATGTCAGATTAACCGGCTCAGAGAAAAAAACTCCATTCTGCACAGCAGAAACAAATGATTTATGAGATTAACAGAACTAAAGGATTTTAGGCCTTTTTAATTCTTTTTCTGATTCTGAGGCTTTTATGTTTTCTCTGCTGACATAAAAAAAACTAACCCTAGCCCAAAGTACAGAGAAAGAAACAAAATCTTCTTGTTTGTTTAAGTAAACATACAGGTGAAGTGTGTGTTTGTAACTCACAGATTAACCTCATTGTTCTGTTGTTCCTGAAACAAGCTACATCCAGGGGCGTGTCCAGGGAGTGGCCTGGGGTAGTACATGCCACCCTTGGGATCTGATTGGCCATCCCAGTTGCCACCACACTAATTTACCTTTAAATAGGCTTTTCATTGTCCACAAAAGGCTTGGGGGTAAAACAAAAAAGCGTAACCATTGGTGCCACCCATGCACAAAGTTGTGCCTCACCTGGGCCACCCCATTTTAAAACCAAACCATACCATACCATACCATGTTTATTTATAGAGCACATTTAAAAACAGCATGACAGCTGACCAAAGTGCTGTACATCAGGGAACAGAGGAGCTCCGTAAAAAATAAATAAAATCAAACGACCTAAAAATAAGGTTAAAAATAGATAAATAAAAGTGCCATCAGTACTAAAAATGTAAGTAAGTAAAAGCAGGGAAAGCACAGAATAAAACAACAAAGACAATCAGTCCTAAGATATAAGAAAAGTAGGTCAGTGACCAAAGGCAAGGTGATGAAAATAGGTCTTCAGCGCCAACTTAAAACGGCCTAGTGAAGGGGCCTGTCGTACTTGGAGGGGGAGGGCATTCCAGAGTTTGATCTGGACACGCCACTGGCAACATCTTAAAGTCTCTTTCCAGAGTATTTCTCTCATCCGATGGCACCATCTAGTGGCTGACAAGCATATCACACTCCTTCAGTTTTTTTCAATTCAAAGAAACTTTATTAATCCCAGAGGGAAATTAGAGTTTCAGTACACACAATTCTGAGATCAGACATACATAGGCAAAGATACATGACACAAATTGGTGACTGTGGTCATTCGCAACCGTGAGTCGCGCTACCTTAATAGAGATCAGAGTGGTTTACATGAGGATTGGATCAGGTGGAGGGAAAAAAAGGCACTTCAGAGTTACCCTCTACGGGGAGGGCAGCTTTGCTCTGCAAAAAAAACACCTCAGACAGAAATGCAACAGACTTCAGACATTACACAACATAAGTGTCCACTAGGTGGGGTGGTGAGTTTGGGACTCTCCACACGTCAGTGCCTGCAGCCACGATGAGCAGCGCTCTTCACCTCAGTCTGGACAGGGGGAGGAGGTCGTTGTGTTTACAGAGCACAGTGATTCCTGGAAACGATTCAGCTGCCATTCACAGCTCGCAGTCCTGCCCAGGCCGGGATAGGGAGACACAGTTGCCATGGCGACAGCAGCATTCCACATTTCTTCTGCGGGGGGGGGGGGGGGGGGGGGGGGCAGCGACTTCACATTTCTGTTTATGAATGTGCTTCTGTAGCCGACAAACAGCTAAAACATGTTGTTTTACGAGTATTATTCTCATGTCATGTTGTGTTTTCATATGTTTATATTTTAGAGACTTACTTGTCCGTGAAAAGTTCATCAACTCTGCATCAGCCGAGGTATTCCTTAAATGTGAAGCATGTAAGCGGTAGTCTAACGCTATTGTTTAGTTCTGGTCGACCCTCAGTTTCCTATTGCACAGAGCTCTGCGGCGCAGGGGGCGTGATTAGTAAAAAAAAAAAAAAAGTGTATTTCTGACATTATATCACAGTACATGATGAGATTATCACTTTTACGGATTTCTGACAAACCATACATCGTTTCTGAAAGAGGAAAACTCCGGAAAGCTGCTTTAACGCAGCTGTATAATGAATCTTTCTCGGTCTTTTCCAGAGCGAAGGCACAGCTCAGAGTTCTTCAATAATAGCAGCTGGTTAAAAGTCATTTTGCACAGAAATATCCATCCTCTTTTCTCAAATTCAATCAATTTTTGATTTGATTCAAATCAAGTCATACTGAAATAATAGTCATTCCCAAAATGTAGTAAATTAAACGCATTTCTCCCTCTAACCTTGTAAGGTTAGCAGCTAATAGCAAACATGTTAAATCTAATATGATGTTTTCTCTTTTCTCAGACAAATTCAATGCTTATGTGACGTTAAAAGTCCAGAATGTAAAGAGCACGACCATCACGGTCCGTGGAGACCAGCCTTGTTGGGAGCAAGACTTCATGTTGTGAGTATAATATTACATTAACCCCTTAAAGTCTGAAACATGAAATAATTATGCAGTTCAGTGTTTAAAAAGGAGCTATTTCTTTTCTAATGCTAATTTCTTTTATGTAATTCTATAATGATATAACAGTATTAAAGAAATAAAACAGGCCCTCACCACCTATAGATCCTCCACCAGGGGGCAGCAGACATGTTGAGGACTTGAACAGACAGATTTCACTAATCCTGATGCTCCATCTGGAAGTATTTTATTCATATAATAAACATTAAACATCATGAACACGAAACCTCTCATTCTTAGGCACAAATTAAAACCAGCTCACAGGTCGAGTATCCGCCCTGGGACTGGGTAATAGAATTACGAACACCACCAAGGGTATTAGACTTCTATCATCTCAAACCCCCCAAACTACTGTCTAAAGTATATAAGACACTTCCAAAATAGACGATAGAATAGCAATCCCTATTGAAAAATGGGAGGTGGATCTATCAGTCAGCTTTGACCAGAACTTCTGGTCCCAAACTTGTTTAAAAACGTTTAAAATGATCAGACACTCCAATTTACAATTAATTCAGTACTAAATTCTACACAGAGTACACTATACAGGTCATCGGATGTTCAAGATGGGGTTTGTATCGTCTGACACCTGTACACACTGCACAAACAACGTTCCTGACAATTACATTCATGCACTGTGGTCCTGCCCACCTGTCCAGGAATTTTGGGGTAGAGTATGTGAGGATCTGTCAAAATGTCTGAAATGTCACATCCCAACCGCCCCCTCTCTTTGTTTACTGGGAAACCTGGACGATGTCCCGATTGAAACATCTTTGGTTCACGTGGTTCTGACTGCCATATGCATCGCTAAGAAAACTATCCTCTTGAATTGGAAAAATAGAGAAACTCTTTGCATCAACCAGTATACAAATATTTTGTTAGATCGTATTACACTTTATACAGCCTCTGCTTCCACTTCAAGTCAATCTCTCTGGGCTCCTTTGATCGGTTCCATCACATAGCGATGACGGGGGACCATTGATATTGTCCTGCGGGATGATGTGGGTGAGGGGGTGGAGGGTCTGAGTTTGGAGTATCTGGACGTTCCCTGGAGGTGGGTTCACTGAGGGTGTCTGGGACTGAGGGGCCGTTGCCCCCCTCTGGAGGTGCTTGGGTTGCCTCGGGGGGTGGACTACTGGCGGTTGTGAGTGGGACCCCTTGGAGGTCTTGGCGGTGGCTATGGGTCACTGCCCGGCAGCTGCATTGCCCCTGGGCGGGTCTGGGTGGGGGGCCTGGGGGCTCGGGGTTTGGGGGTGGCCAGCCCCATGGTGGAAACTGGGCGGAGCCTTGGGGATCGGGTCCTGACATGTATGCTGCCGGGGAGAAGGCAGGAACATGCAGCAGTGCCTGGCTCAGGTTCAGGGGCCTCAAGTAGACCATGGCTCCTCTGCTGTCCCATCACAGGGGAGTGGGAAGTCCAGGAGGGGGAGGATCCAACCTTACCTGGATGTCCTATGTCTTTTATAATCTGGAAGTTGTGCAAATGCAGGGATGGGCGTAGATATTCTGCTGGGGTGGGGCTGGGTTGGCTCTGACTCCACGAGGCTCTGTGATGTGTTGATTATATATTTCTTCATCAAGTTAACGCAGTGATAACTGGATCTTGTTGTATTGTTGTTGTGTCCCTTTTTATTTTTTATCCTCTTTTTCTGCAGGTCTAGAAGCAGACTCTTTTTCATTATTGTTTATTTTTGTGGAACACCCCCTCCCCACCTTTTGTCTCTTCCTTTCTCTTTCACCTCTGTCTCCGTGTCTGGTCGGAATTACAAAGCATTCAACAACAATAACAATAAAGTTTTAAGTATCAGGCGTGACATTAAAAGCAGACGCTTTGATGCTCCACCTGAGAGTAAATCTGTAAGGCTTGTCACCAGCATTCAGACATCAATTCTGTTTGCTTCAGAGCCAGACGGGACATGGGGAAAAAAAAAATAATAATAATAATATCATGCTTCTGTTTGATTGACAGAATGCATCATGTGTAGCAAACATTTGAGCTGACCCTTTATTGCGATATTTATCTGTTCTTTCCAATGTGCATATTGTGCATGCTGATATTGCGATAACGATATATTTACGATATTTTGTGCAGCCCTAGAAAAGATATTTTCTTCTTCTTCTTCCCTGCTTGACACTCAGCTTTACATGGTCGGATTGGGGGTTAAACCACCAAATGGTTCTGAGCGCAGCCACAGCTGCAGCTCTCCGCTCCCCACGGGGATGGGTCAGATGCGGAGATGTCATTTCACCAGTGTATGACGACTTTGAGATTAAACCTTTTCCGCATGCCTAAAGCTAAATGATAAATGACCCGCAGTTGTGTAGCGCCTCTCAGAGTAAGGACTCCAAAGCGCTTTACACTACAGTGTATCATTCATCCATTCACACACACATTCACACACTGATGTTGATGAGCTACGATGTAGCCACAGCTGCCCTGGGGTGCACTGGCAGAGGCGATGCTGCCGAGCACATGCGCCACCGGTCTCTCCGACCACCACCAGCGACATAATGTGTTAATTTTGACCCTTTCTGTGTAGCTAAGCCGAGTTGTTTCAGTCCCTGGACATCAGCAGCAACCTACACACACATCTCTGAGGCTCACAGAAATCGATGCTTCGGAGGGAGTCAGCCTTGAGCTGAATGCATCCATTCAGAGCAGCTGTAGCGCAGGTAGAACAGGGTGTCCAGTAATCAGAAGGTTGTAGGATCAATCCCAGCTCCCTGCAGGGAATTCTGCTGTTGTGTCCTTGGGCAAAAGACTTAACCCTCCCTCCCTGTTGGTGGTCGGAGGGACCAGTGGGACCTGTGCTCGGCAGCCTCGCCTCTGTCACTGCGCTCTAGTGCAGCTGTGGCTATGTTGTGTGTGTGTGTGTGTGTGTGCGCGCGCGTGCGCACGTGCGTGCGTGCCCGTGTGTGTGTGTGTGTGTGTTCTCCATCCCCAGTGAGTCGTGGTGGATGGCTGCTTATACTGAGCCAGGATCCTCTGGAGGTTTCTTCCTGTTAAAGGGGAGTTTTCCTCTCCACTGTCACTGCATGCTTGCTTAGTATGAGGATTGCTGTTAAGACTCTGACACTAGTCAGTGACTCGATGCAACCTGCTGGGTTCCTTTTGTAGGAAACTTGCAACTGATTGGCTTAATGACCTGACCTGTATTGTTTACTGTGTGAAGGTCCTTGAGGCGATTCTGGTCCTGATTTGGCGCTTTAGAAATAAACTTGAATTGAATTGAATTGGTTTAGCTCATCATCACCAGGGAATGAATGGGTGAATGAGTGTAAGGGTAAAGTGCTTTGGAGTCTCCGGAAGGCGTTTTACAAGAGCGGGTCATTTATCATCATTGCTTTTAGCCTCACTTTAACGCTAAAACAGAATATGTTACAGATTCAGGACGTAGAGAAGTGGAATAACTGAGTCTGGGATGAATCTAAAGAGCCGTCCAGCCCAGTCAGACCCCAGTGGGTGGAGATGATTGTCATGTGAGGACACCTGATGGCCCTTTTGGATCAATAGATTGGATCATCTAATCAATTGTTAATCCAGCAGCATGAGGTTTTTTTCCCCCTCATGATTCATCGTCAGACATCTGTAGATGTTTTCTGTTACGTTCTCCTAGACGACCTCTGATCGCTGGTTCTTCTGCTCTCTCATGCACCGTTTTTTCCTCCTCAGCTTGTCTCTTTTAGATCTGATTCTAAAGGCAGCAAGGACTTCGGTTGGACGAGAGGTTTAAGTTTTATGTTGAACCTTTTAAGGGATTCCTGCTTTTGCTTCTCAAAGGGACATGAAAGTTGCCAACCTACACACACATTTTCTTTTTTTACCATCACATTTATTTACATGTGAACAACGATATCAGTTAGAGTCAAGAATGTTTACTTATGGCCTAGCCCTAGTCTGCTGTGTCCACCTAATATATCATTCATCCATCCATCCATCCACCCATGCATCCATCCACCCATGCATCCATCCATCCATCCATCCATCCACCCACCCATGCATCCATCCATCCATCCACCCACCCATGCATCCATCATCCATCCATCCATCCATCCACCCATCCATCCATCCATCCACCCATGCATCCATCCACCCATGCATCCATCCATCCATCCATCCACCCACCCATGCATCCATCCATCCATCCACCCACCCACTCATGCATCCATCATCCATCCATTCATCCATCCACCCATCCATCCATCCATCCATCCATATCCACCCGTGCATCCATCCACCCATCCATCCATCCATCCACCCGTGCATCCATCCATCCATATCCACCCGTGCATCCATCCACCCATCCATCCATCCATCCATCCATCCACCCATGCATCCATCCACCCATCCATCCATCCACCCACCCATGCATCCATCATCCATCCATTCATCCATCCACCCATGCATGCATCCATCCATCCATCCATGCATTCATCCATTCATGCATCCACCCATGGATTCATCCATCCATCCACCTATCCAACCATCCATCCATGCATCCATCAACCATCCATCAATTCATCCATTCATCTATCCATCCATCCACCCATCCACCCATGCATCCATCATCCATCCATTCATCCATCCACCCATGCATGCATCCATCCATCCATCCATGCATTCATCCATTCATGCATCCACCCATGGATTCATCCATCCATCCATCCATCCACCCATCCATTCATCCATCCACCTATCCAACCATCCATCCATCCATCCATCCACCCATGCATCCATCATCCATCCATCCATCCATTCATCCATTCATCCATCCATTCATCCATCCACCCATGCATGCATCCATCCATCCATCCATGCATCCATGCATTCATCCATTCATGCATCCATCCATCCATCCACCCATCCACCCATGCATTCATCCATCCATCCATCCACCCACCCACCCACAGACCCATGAGTCTGTCGTGTTACCGCTGAGGCACACTCACAGGTATCAGATAGCTAACACTACCACCAAAATGCTGCAAAATAAGCTAAAAGAAAAAGTGTAATAGTTTTGTTGGGATTAAGATGTAGAAATATTTGATTGTTTGCTGATTAATTGCTGTTGTCACTCATCGATTACTGGTCAGGTGATTCAGGTCAATGTTTGCAAGTTTTGCCAATTAAGGTTCTGTTCAAGGATCAACAAATGGTGACCTTTTCCCTGCTGCCCACATCAGCCCGTGTTTGTGTTCCCCTCTGTGACTTCATTAAATTACAAACAACACAAGTGATTTACGTATGTCTGATTCCGACCTTTTCCCTCCTCAGAGGAAGAAAATTAATTATTCAGTAAAAACGTTTTCTATTGTAATCTGGATCAGTCGTTTGTCTTTATTTTTACAGAGACCTAATTTCTCCATCGAAGTTTCAAATAGTGATAGAGTGGTTTCCCTGTGTTACTGAGATGAGGTCTGAACCTTAAATATTAATATTACTTATAATAATAATAATAATAATGATAATAATAATAATCCATCCATTTTCATCTGCTTATTCGGAGTCGGGTCACGGGGGCAGTAGCCTAAGGCGAGAGGCTCAGACTTCCCTCTCCCCAGCCACTTGGGCCAGCTCCTCCGGGGGAATCCCAAGGTGTTCCCTGGCCAGGTGAGAGACATAGTCCGTCCACTGTGTCCTGGGTCTCCCTTTAGGTCTCCTCCCAGTTGGACATGCCCGGAAAACCTCACCAGGGAGGTGTCCAGGAGGCAATCTGACCAGATGCCCGAGCCACCTCAACTGGCTCCTCTCGATGTGGAGGAGCAGTGGGTCTACTCCGAGCCCCTCCCGAATGACCGAGCTTCTCACCCTATCTCTAAGGGAGAGTCCAGCCACCCTGCCTGGGGGGGCCGTTCCTCCCAACCACACCTCTCCAGGTCTCACTGACGTTGCCCACGTGAGCGTTAAAGTCCCCCAGCAGAACGAGGGACTCACCGGAAGGAGCGTTTTCCAGCACCCCCTCCAAGGTCTCCAAAAAGGGTGGGTAGTCTGAACTGTAGTTTGGTGCATAAGCACAGACCACAGTCAGAACCTGTCCCAACAATACAACTAGAGCAAGCTATCACTGCGTCAACCTGATGAGGAAATATAAAGTCAACATTGTTTTACTGAACAATCACATGATAATAAATCACAGTGCATTTAGTGCCAACCACAGCCTTAAGATATGTGTTGAAAATGCCCAAGTCCATACTTATGAGAGCACCATGTGAGCACCTGTGTGTGTACACGCACTTGTATATGTAAGGTTTCTCTATAGGAGCATCCAATAGAGAGTGTGAGGGGCCACAGATCTGCCACTCAAAGATGTGTAGGAGATGGAAGGAGCTCCAAGTCCCAGAGATCCAGGAGCTGCCCCAGAGCACCGGGACCCCAGGGCGAATGTAACCAGAAAAGCCCTCGCCCCCCTCGAGAAGCCCAGAGGATTGCCTCGGGGGGCCACAACCAGCAGCCGGCAGAGTCCCGGGAGATGTCGGTGGCAAGCCCACAGGCCCGCCCACAGGCCCGCCCCGCAGCCTCCCACCCCCAAGCCCGCCAAGCCTGGAACCCAGCAACCCGGAACCCAGGGGCGACCAGCCCCACCGGAGACCCAACAGAGCCCAGGGAGCCAGACCCCACCAGGCAGCCACCGGGATCGATCAGGCAGACTCAAAAAATATTAAACCCCCTGACCCGGGAGCCGCAAACACTCAGGCAGAGCAAGGCACCACACTCCACACCAGGTGTGGCAGGGGGAGGGCAGGCGAAGATGTGTAGTAGCACAAGAAGTCCGAGGAGAGGGGTGGAGTCCAAGACCCCACCTGACATATACAGTCATACACAGAAAGTTCGCCACTTTCTGCTGAGGTGCTGATGAGCAGGCTTCCCCGCCCAACGCCGAGCAAAGCGTCCCACCACTCCAGACCCCAACCAGACGGCCAGATCCCCCTCCTAGCCTCCAGTCCCGGGAAGCTAAGTGACAACAGAGGTGTGCTAAGACCCCTAGTCTCCCTCCGCCTGTTCCAATGCTGTGTTGGTGCGTGTTGATGAGGTGTATTCCATGGCTGTGGTAAGCAGGCAGTGCAGGCATCGTCTAGCCTACGCCAGCTGATGCCACCACACCACCCCACCCCACTTGCACCCACAGCCCTCTGTGTCTAAGTGCAGTTTAAAATTGGAAGTGGGCACCGGCACTCGGGGTGAGGCTGAAAGATCATCTTGCCAAATGTCGTTGAGTGTGCTCACTCCCAAGGCCCTAAGTGTGTGTTTGCGTGGAATGTCGTTGGTGGAAGTGTTTAATGTGCAAATAAAATTGGGTGGCAGGTTGCCACAGGAATGCGGAAATGGGATCCATCCCCCCACCCCCTGACTTGCCCACCCCCCAAGGTCCTATGTGGACAATTGTGTGATGATGTGAGGGAGCAGGAAGATATAAATATATGGGGATGGGGTGGAATGGCTGGTTGGCCTATGCCCTCCAAGGAGCCATTAGATGGGGAGAGCAGAATAAAGAGAGTGTGGTGAAGAAGGTCATACAAAAAAGGATCATTAATGACTTCTTACATCTGTGCAGAAGCAGAGAAACATCCCAGAAAACGCATAAAAAACAGAAAACAATTAATGTGACTTCTCCGTGTGGCTCCAACTCTCCACCAGAACCTCCACCGACTCCTCATCTCCACCATCAGCTGTGTGTGATGATCATCACACACAGCTGATGGTGGAGATGATGTCATGGGAGATGACTGACAGTCGAAGGGAGGAGAAATGACTCTGCCATCTCCTCTTTAGGATGGATCTGCCAGCAGATAATGGCTGATGTTCGTCACTCCTAATAAAACTAGGTCCACTTCCTGACCTTGTAGAAGAGGAGAGGAGTTCTCCTAGAAGGTTGTGGAAGGTTCAGTGACTGACATCTGGCTTCAGGAGAGCCAAGAAGGTCAAGAACATCTAGCTCCTGCCCTGATACCTGGTGGTTCCACCTAAGGGTTGCAGTTAGCTCCTCTTCATGTTTAATGTAAAAGGAATCTGTTTGTCTGCAGTGAGATTAATAATCTGGATTCTGGTCTGGTGGTGGAGCTGTGGAACAAAGGTCTGATCTGGGACACGATGATCGGTACGGCACTGATCCCGCTGGACACCATCCAACAGTCTGATGAGGTAAACTCGCATGTTTGTTGTTTAAAACTCAGCTGAAGATTTAGGTGGAATATTTTACTTTCTACTGAGACAAAATCGTTCAAAATTTGTGCAAAAGCTGCATTTTTGTCTGTTGAGCCTTTTTTAAACTCCTGATTTCACAGACGTCGTTTTTCAGGAGTTTAAACAGCGTCTGGGTCGCTGTTAGGACTGTAAACGAATCATTTCGGTTTTCTTTGTTTTCATAAAAACCAGCTGTCTCTCTCTCTCTGTCTGTCTATTGGTCTGTCTGTCTGCCTGTCTATCGGGCTATCTGTCTGTCTGAATATCTGTCTATTGGTCTGTCTCTCTGTCTGTCTGTCTGAATATCTGTCTGTCTGTCTGTTTGTCTATCTGTCTATTGGTCTGTCTCTCTGTCTGTCTGTGTGTGTGTGTCTGTCTGTCTATCGGTCTGTCTGTCTGTCTGTCTGAATATCTGTCTATTGGTCTGTCTCTCTGTCTGTCTGTGTGTGTGTGTGTCTGTCTGTGTGTGTCTGTCTGTCTATCGGTCTGTCTGTCTGTCTGTCTGAATATCTGTCTGTCTGTCTGTTTGTCTATCTGTTTGTCTATCTGTCTATTGGTCTGTCTCTCTGTCTATCTGTGTGTGTGTGTCTGTCTGTCTATCGGTCTGTCTGTCTGTCTGTCTGAATATCTGTCTATTGGTCTGTCTCTCTGTCTGTCTGTCTGAATATCTGTCTGTCTGTCTGTTTGTCTATCTGTTTGTCTATCTGTCTATTGGTCTGTCTCTCTGTCTATCTGTGTGTGTGTGTGTGTCTGTCTATCGGTCTGTCTGTCTGTCTGTCTGAATATCTGTCTATTGGTCTGTCTCTCTGTCTGTCTGTGTGTGTGTGTCTGTCTGTCTATCGGTCTGTCTGTCTGTCTGTCTGAATATCTGTCCATTGGTCTGTCTCTCTCTCTGTCCGTCCTTCTTTCTGTCTGTCGGAATATCTGTCTATTGGTCTGTCTCTCTGCCTATCGGTCTGTCTCTCTGTTTGTCTATCTGTCTATTGGTCTGTCTCTCTGTTTGTCTATCTGTCTATTGGTCTGTCTCTCTGTCTGTCTGTCTATCGGCTTTTCTGTCTGTCTGAATATCTGTCTATTGGTCTGTCTCTCTGTCTGTCTGTCTATCGGTCTGTCTGTCTGTTTGTCTATCTGTCTATTGGTCTGTCTGTGTGTCTGTCTGTGTGTCTGTCTGTCTATTGGTCTGTCTCTCTGTCTGTCTGTGTGTCTGTCTGTCTATTGGTTTGCCTCTCTGTCTGTCTGTCTGAATATCTGTCCATTGGTCTGTCTCTCTCTCTGTCCATCCTTCTTTCTGTCTGTCGGAATATCTGTCTATTGGTCTGTCTCTCTGTCTGTCTGTCTATCGGTCTTTCTGTCTCTCTGTCTGTCTGTCTGTTTGGCTATCTGTCTATTGGTCTGTCTCTCTGTCTGTCTGTCTATCGGTCTTTCTGTCTCTCTGTCTGTCTGTCTGTTTGGCTATCTGTCTATTGGTCTGTCTGTCTGTCTGAATATCTGTCTGTCTGTCTGTTTGTCTATCTGTCTATTGGTCTGTCTCTCTGTCTGTCTGTCTATCGGTCTTTCTGTCTCTCTGTCTGTCTGTCTGTTTGGCTATCTGTCTATTGGTCTCTCTGTCTGTCTGTCTGAATATCTGTCTGTCTGTCTGTTTGTCTATCTGTCTATTGGTCTGTCTCTCTGTCTGTCTGTGTGTGTGTGTCTGTCTGTCTATCGGTCTGTCTGTCTGAATATCTGTCTATTGGTCTGTCTCTCTGTCTGTCTGTGTGTGTGTGTCTGTCTGTGTGTGTCTGTCTGTCTATCGGTCTGTCTGTCTGTCTGTCTGAATATCTGTCTATTGGTCTGTCTCTGTCTGTCTGTCTGAATATCTGTCTGTCTGTCTGTTTGTCTATCTGTTTGTCTATCTGTCTATTGGTCTGTCTCTCTGTCTGTCTGTGTGTGTGTGTCTGTCTGTCTATCGGTCTGTCTGTCTGTCTGTCTGAATATCTGTCTATTGGTCTGTCTCTCTGTCTGTCTGTGTGTGTGTGTGTCTGTCTGTCTATCGGTCTGTCTGTCTGTCTGTCTGAATATCTGTCCATTGGTCTGTCTCTCTCTCTGTCCGTCCTTCTTTCTGTCTGTCGGAATATCTGTCTATTGGTCTGTCTCTGCCTATCGGTCTGTCTCTCTGTTTGTCTATCTGTCTATTGGTCTGTCTCTCTGTTTGTCTATCTGTCTCTTGGTCTGTCTCTCTGTCTGTCTGTCTGTCTATCGGCTTTTCTGTCTGTCTGAATATCTGTCTGTTGGTCTGTCTCTCTGTCTGTCTGTCTATCGGTCTGTCTGTCTGTTTGTCTATCTGTCTATTGGTCTGTCTCTCTGTCTGTCTGTGTGTCTGTCTGTCTATTGGTCTGTCTCTCTGTCTGTCTGTGTGTCTGTCTGTCTATTGGTTTGCCTCTCTGTCTGTCTGTCTGAATATCTGTCCATTGGTCTGTCTCTCTCTCTGTCCATCCTTCTTTCTGTCTGTCGGAATATCTGTCTATTGGTCTGTCTCTCTCTCTGTCCATCCTTCTTTCTGTCTGTCGGAATATCTGTCTATTGGTCTGTCTCTCTGTCTGTCTGTCTATCGGTCTTTCTGTCTCTCTGTCTGTCTGTCTGTTTGGCTATCTGTCTATTGGTCTGTCTCTCTGTCTGTCTGTCTATCGGTCTTTCTGTCTCTCTGTCTGTCTGTCTGTTTGGCTATCTGTCTATTGGTCTGTCTGTCTGTCTGTCTGAATATCTGTCTATTGGTCTGTCTGTCTGAATATCTGTCTATTGGTCTGTCTCTCTTTCTTGTCTGTCTGTCTATTGGTCTGTCTGTCTGAATATCTGTCTATTGGTCTGTCTGTCTGTCTATTGATTTGTCTGTCTATTGGTCTGTTGCCTGTCAGTATATCAGTCTGTCTGTTTATCTGTCTGTCTATCGATCTTTCTGACTGTCTATTGGTCTCTCTGTCTGTCCATTGATCTTTTGGTCTGTCTGTCTATCTGTCTTTCAATCATTCTGTTTGTCTGCATGTCTATCGACCTGTTGGTCTGTCTGTCTATTTGGCTGTCTATCTGTGTGTTGGTCTAGTGCCTGTCAGTATTTCAGTCTATTGTCTGTCTTTCTGTCTCTCTGTCTGTTAGTCAGTTGTCTGTCTGTCTGTCTGTCTGTCTATCAATATTTTGGACTGTCTATTGGTCTCTCTGTCTGTCTATCTGTCTTTCAATCAGTCTGCCTTTTGGTTTGTTTTCTGTGTGTCTGCCTGTCGTATTGGTCTGCTGATCTTTTTTCTGTCTTTCCTAAACATCTGTAAACTACTCCCATCCTAGCTTCTCTGTATTGGTTACATGTAAAGGTCAGAAGGATGAGCACCTTTGACCTTTCTCGCCTTACTGATCTGGAATCAACTTCCTGTTGGAGTTTCGCTTCAGCTCTGGTTTAGTGAAACAGTTAAACAGGAAAGGATTTCGTGGGCTTGTAGGAAACCATCAGCATCAATACAGCAGTCAGTATCGGTATTGATCTTCTAAGAGGAACCTGATTAATCTGTAACACCAAAAATCCCCATCCTGTTGTCTGATGAGTCACGGCGGTGTCAAATGAAATTTACCAGCATTTTTAGTCTCAGATTTATGACGTTTGATCGTTTTCATTCGTTTGTTGTAAGAATATTTTAGCCTTCATCCTTTTTAAATAATTAATTGTCTCACATTTAGCTGTTTTAATGCTGTTTCAGCTGTTTGGAGTTAAAACATCTGGATGAAAAAAAATTCTGATTTAAATGTTTAGTATCTATAAAAGAATCTTATTAAAACACTGAGAAGAGCTGTAATTATTACTCACAAACAGAGATATGGTCAGCATTTATGTTTGTATTATTAGGTGCACTTTTCATGTTTATTCTAAAAAAGAATCGTTTATTTTTTACTGTGGCTTCAGTTAGGATGCAGGATGGTTTTTTACTAACGTCAGCAAAGAAAATGACAACAACAGGTTTTACTGCAGTTTGTCTAAAAACTCTAAAGTCTTTTTGTATCATTTGAACTCTGAGTTTTGATAAAACTTCCTTTTATAATCAGGTATAAAATAAGATTTTGTCCAAACATGCTTACAGAATCCTTTTTAATGTATTATTTGATAGTGTTTTGGGTTATCTTACATATTTTTGATGGGATTTTCTTCATGTTTGATCATCTAGGATTGTTTTTTGACAAGGTGGGATGAACTCTTTTTTAACAGATGTGGTTTCTGGTTTCTTGTAAATCTCTAAAAGCAAAACAAATAAAAAATGAACTTCTTATCTTCCATGAACAGATATTTATATATGTGTGTTTATAGATCTAGATAAAATAGCTCTGTTTGAGATTCTCTATCATAAATGAAGCGGTAATAGGTCGTTTATTCCATAATCCCGTTTTATTGTTGTGTTTGCAGCATGGATGGATGTTGGAGTAAATAGGTAGATTTCAGAGATGCTCTGCTGCTTTGGCTGGTTTACTTTTGACAGCCTGAAAAGGTTTCCTCCTTATTAAGGCGACACCTTTACCTGCACACAGGCTGCTTGTTAGAAAACTTCCCCAGACGGGCGCTTCTCATTAGAAATAGTTGCGGACTGAAGCGGTTCCTCCTGGTCACCTCCGGCTGCTGCTTCTCTTCCTCCCTTCTTCATGTTTTCATCCGTCCCAAACTGGCAGAATCATCTTTTTTTATGTTATTTTATCTTCTGTCTAACTTGATTTTGGTAATTTTAAATGGCCTGTATTTATAAAGCCCCTTCTGGAGTGTCACAACCCCCCAAGGCTCTTTACAACACACATGTCATTCCCCCACTCACATGCTCTTCTCTTTTTGCTTTCTCTGTATACATTTTTTATTTCTCCTGATTTCTGTGGTTCAGGAAGGACCAGGACAGTGGACGTCTCTGGACTCGGAGGTCCTGATGAAGGAGGACCAGATCTGCGGTACCACCAACCCGACTCCTCACCAGGTGCTGCTGGACGTTCGCTTTGAGCAGCCCTTCGGTATCTATCACAGCAGAATCCTTCCCTCGTCTTTCGGATGAGAAACGCAGGTTTTCGACACAACCAGATTCCCCAAACTCCTAAAGTTTGATAAAAGCTCGTTTAAAGTCGGCTTTTGTCCTTTTTTAGGAAGCAGAATTGGGCCAGAATCCACTAAGAGCAATAATAGATGAAACTTTAGATGAACTCAGTGCTAATTAGCACCTGAGCTAGCTGTTTGTTACACTTCCTGCTCTGCTGAAATGCCAAGTTTTCAAAATAAAACAGAAAAACAATGTCATGCAAACTGACTGCAGTGTAAAGGTGTAAATAACAGCCTTCATGACTAGTTGATATTGGCAAGTCAGCTAGCGGTTAGCTCATCAAAACTAGTCTCTTTCTCCAAACTGAGGCTCCTCAGGGATTGATGACGGGTTAAATAGGCATTGTTTGTAATCTTTTTACCAAAATAAAATCATATCTTTAAACAGAAAAAAGTCAGTATATTATATTATTTGCCGCTTTTTAGGGTTTATTGTTTTAAATTCGGTTTTATTGATGCTTTATTTTTTTGTTGTAGTCAAATGTTTCCAGTGTAAAGTTGGAAATGATGATTTTGTTATAACTGACATGATCAGCCTCCACCTTTGCCTTTTACTGAAGAGGAAAATAACATTAATCTATCCATTTTCCCCTCCACACTATTTAACTCATTTAATCCAACTTCACATAAAATCAGCTCAAATCTCCACGCTGGAGCTGGAGCGCCGTCATGAAGGTTTTACATCCATGCTCACGTTTCACCCTCCTCTTCTTCACAGCTGTCTGTCCCAGATTGTTTTGTATGACAGAAGTTAGGTCTGGCATATGCTTCTGTCTCTGTTCAGTGAAAAAATCTCCTGACGACAGGAGCAGCCTTAAGGCTTAAGGAAGGACCTCTGATGCTGCTAAAACCTATTTCTGGCTCTCTGAAAGGCAGGGGCGGTTCTAGGCCAAATTTTCCAGGGGGGCCACAGTGGGGCCAGTATTTTTTCATGGGGGCGCAAGAAAAAAAGGGAAGAATTAGTGCAATATCAAAATTCCTTTTTTGTCGCCATATGACAAATTTTGTGCTTGTGCACAATTTTGCCAAAGGAAATTTATTGATGTCAGGAAAAAACACTGTATTGCTTGCCTTCGTCTCTCGGTGTCTTTTCCGTTAGTCGTCCTCAAGAATTTCTTCGGGTCCCATTTAAACAATTTTTAATCTTTTATTCAAAAATCCACCAGGTAAACAGTTCTGTCCACAGAGTGTGCTGCGCTCTAAAGGCTCCGTTTGAAACGCTGCAGCGCATTAGTTCCCATCTCCGAGGCAGCGCGGGAAAAAAAATCCGATCTATCTCTTCAGTACAGGGGCCATAACAGGGGCCAGGGCCGGTTCTATAGGGGCCCAGGCCCCTGTGGGCCCCTGTTTAAAACCGCCAATGCCGAAAGGAAACCCTCCTCGTTAATGACTACGAAACACGCATGAGAGAGGGGTGGAGCCTCAAACGCCTTTGCTTCTTTTTTCCGCTTTGTTGGACTTAACATCCCTTTCTTCCCGGACTTCTGCCTTTTAAAGAGTTCTCGTTAACTGAGGTTTTCCTGACATCATGTCTGCATTTGGTGACTTCTGTCCTCCGTACAGACATCCCAGAGGACGAGGCGCAGTACTGGACCAGTAAGCTGGAGCGGATCAACACGCAGATCCCTGATGAAGTCAGTTTACTGAAATATCTGTCTAATTTAAAAACTGTCATAAGAGGTATTGAGTCTTTTTTAACTGACATGCAAACAAAGTTGTACATGAATGAAAACACTCCTACCGACACGTAAAGATGACAAGTTTGATTTGAAATTTAAACGTTTAAAAATCTGTGAAGAAGGTTTTGTTGCATGTTTTTTATTTTAATGATTCTTTTAAATAAAAAATCGATTTCAAGTTTTGATTATTTAAATGTGTTTAACGTGATGGTGAGATCTCATCAGTAAAAGATAATAAAATAAAAATCTATGAGCCTGTAGTCCTACCCCCATAGGAACCTAACTCTCTGCTGCCACCTAACGACCAGGCATGGTTTTCACATGTCTGTTTCCTTCCACCAGCATCGGGTCCAGAGAAGAAGGCTGACATCTGTACCCTCCCAGTGTTGTAAGTCATAACATAAATCCATCATTTTCTCCATGTTTCTTTGGACGGCTGTGTTTTGACTGATGCATAAAGAAGCATGTTTTATTATAAACACATTTATTTTTGACCTTATTTTTTACCAAGAAGAAAATAAACAAAATTTCTCATTTTTTACTGTTTATTTTTTTCTGTATAAAATCATTTCATCACTCCCTGTGATCATATCCCTTTCTCACCTCTCTCATTACTGCTGTGGGCTGTTGCACATTTAGATGATGTTTAATGCATTTAGACACCAATAAGTCCTAAATGTGTCTCCTGTGAAAACTTATCAATGCCTCCAGGCAGCTGGACTTATTTTGGATGGAGCGACCAGCAAAGTACGTAAACTGGTTGTTTGTCTTGTTTCTGTTGTTTGGTGCAGAACTTCCCCTTAACCCTCCCACTGTCTTCACGGGTGACCCCGCCAGGAAAGTTGACCATCGAGCAGGATTGATGGTTTATCCCTTGAGGTCCACGTGGCAGGGGTGAGATGGTGCTCACTCCTCACCCCCGCCACGTGGACCCAAGCAATAAACCATCAATCCTGCTCAATGGTCAACTTTCCTCACGGGGTCACCCATGAAGACAGTGGGAGGGTTAAGTTTCTTTAAAACAGCTGTGCATGCTCCGTGAATGTTTGTTTGTTTGTTTGATTTAAAAAAAAAAACCACAAGCAGAGCTTTCGGATCAGTTTCATCTGCCTGTGTTGTCTGTTTGCAGCCACAAGGGGGAGCCGTTTGCCACATTTCAGCACGCGGTTCTTACTGTTGTCTGTTGCACTGATCTCTGAGCCCATTTCTAAGCTTCTGATTGGTCAACCTTTTTTGTGGAGCAAATCTCACTGAACGCATGCACTGAACTGTTGTCATCTTTATCTCAGCTTACGACGACCATGACAGTGCTATGGATGACCATGACAGTGATTACCGGAGTGAAACTGGCTCCAGGCCACCACCGTTCCACAACACGTCCCAGAATAATTCATCTGTCCATCAGTACCCCGTCGGACGCAGAGTCCAACGTCCCAGCCTGTCCAGGGAGTCCAACTCCGTACAAAGTTATGATCTAGACTCCAGAGAAGCGAGGGCAGCCAGGTAACACACACATGCATGCAGACACACACCCACACACACACACACCCACCCACCAAAGCAGACATGAAACATGAAAAGTGCACAAATCTGCAGGTAAATCTGTAATGAAGGACTTATTAAACAAACTGCTTTGGTTTTGTTACTTTTGCATTTGGCTTGTTTTAACATCCGTACTTGTTTTGTTGATTTGATTCATATTTAATGCTTCTTTTCTCTTGTTTCTGATCTCACCCTTTCCCTGCACGCCACTGCTTCCTGCATGCTCTTTTGTTTTTTTTAACTCACACCAGACGATCAAACAGTAAGGGGAACGTTAGAATCATCCCAGTTGACTCGGGTATGGGTGTGGAGGACTGGGAGAGAGGATATAAAGTTCCCGGCTCTGGCCTCTTGGATGACTATTTAGATGCTGAGCAGAAACTGTGGGAGGATGAAGATAAAAGCATCATCTACAGAATCTGTGACAGCTGTGAGTCTAAAGGCAGCAGGTTTTATCAGGCGGTAGAATGTGATGGCCTTTCTCCAGAGGACACGCTGGAGCCAAACGGTAGGACGCAGAAAAAGGGGCGTGGCTTCGGCAGCGGAGAAGTACGGTTAGTTTACATGGAAGCTGGAAGCTTTGAGGATGAATCATCTCCCCCTGAAATTGATATAATTCCATCAGTCAAACAGCTGCGACAGCCGACGGGCACAGAACGTTTGCTTTATAAGACTCGGCTCTGGGCCAAGACGGCTTTAGAAGACACGCTGGAGAGCTACGCAGCTTTTCGGGAGGAGGAGGCTGCTCGGGAGGAGGCCGCAAGGATTCAAAGGAGGATGGAGCATAACTCGATTGGTTCAGACGAGATGCAGTATTCATTCGGGTCCGAGGAGGAACTAGAGGATCTGACCTTCACAGAGGGGGATGCTAGTTTTGAACATGAGTGCTATCACTACACTGGACATGGCACGCCTCCTTATGAAGGACAAGAATATTTAAGCAGAAACCAAACCGCCCATGAACGGGACCCCATGTTGTCTCCTCCAGAGGATCTGAGGAATGAAGACATCGATCCGATGGGTGAACTGCAGAGCTTGGTTCTCTCAGTGTCTCGGTACCTGGCTGTAAAAGAGGAGGAGCTCCACAAATATGAATCCATGCCAAAACCAACTAGAAGAAAACTCCCCACCCTGCCAACCGATGCTAAGGCTGTGCAACCTGGGGACGATAAAAAGGACCAAGTCCAAGCTGAGGTTAAAGAGGAGAGTCCTGTTGAGCAAGGCATGACTGGGGTGAAAAATGCAATGAGCTCGTTGTTGAGTTCACTAACAGGATCAAAGTCTCCCACGGAGGTGGAGTCCACCGGAACGCCATCCCCTCAACCACCACAGACTGAATCTGGAATTTCTAAACTGCTCTCTTTGATCCCAAAAGCTAATTTGGAAGTTCCTGAAATCATGCCTGCAACAGACCCGCCCACTCCCCAAGCATCCCCCCAACCTGAATCAGGCATTTCCAGACTTCTGGCATTCATTCCCAAGAGCGGAGGTGCCTCTCCACCTGTGGCTATAGTTCCACCCGCCTCTCAAGAACCTGCAACAGAGAAAAGGTTTTCCCTTCAGTCCCTTTTGCCTTTCCAGTCCTCTGAACCCGGTCAACAAGCTGATGCTAATCAGACACCGACGCAAGGCGGTGCACAGGCGGGTGACCAGTCCACATCTGGGTTCGAATCCATGCTAGGAAGGCTTAGTCCCATGAGACTTTTCTCCAGCACGCCCTCATCTAGAGAGGCACCACCCCAGCCCTCAGAGCAAAGAAGTGACTCTGCTGCTAGCAGAGATTCCCAACAAGGACCTGGGAGCAGTCCGAAAAGAGAAGGCTCGCAAACGGAGCGACAGTCTTCCGGAGAGACGAGAGCAGGTTCAGGAAGTGGATCCGTTGATCTTTTACCAGATACAGGAAGTGGATCAATAGAGTTTTCCCACGAAACAGGAAGTGGTTCAGTAGAGCTTCTTCCAGAGACCGAATCATCTGGTGAGCTTCCCGATATTCACCAAAGAGAAACCACAGCAGCATCTGAAGCCAAACCCGAGGGCGGTTCAGAGGAAACGGGATTCTTCAGTCCTTTTAGGAAGTCTTTCTCCACTCTGATATCAACTGCATCTCCAGACATTTCCTCCCAGACTCATGGCAAACCTGCAGAGGAATCATTTTTAGGGAGCAAATTCAAAATCCCTTTTTTTTCTGAGAACACTCCCACAAGTACCTCCTCCAGAGCAGATGGGGGAATGCTGTCAGGTATCCTTAAGCTGGGCTCGTCAGAGGATACCAGCTCTTCTCCAAGCAGTCCACCTCCTACTGCTAGAGCTTCTTCTCCAAGTCGTGCAGCGCTCCTTGAGAGTGTGCCTAAAGGAAACCCTGGAACGGGCTGGTTTTCTAACCTGTTCAAGGTGAGCCCAAGTGAGCCTGCCAAGGAACAGACGACTCCCACTCTGACTCTAACCCAACCAGGAGGTCAAACCGAGCTTCACGATGAACAAGGACTTCCCGACACTCCGAAGAGCACTCGGGATCAAACACCACCAGAAGCAAACGTCACGTCTCAACATCAAGATCTGCCGAAAGTCGCAGAAGGGAAATCCCAGTCCGAAACCTCACATCCTCAAGGAATTCTGTCAGGAATGTTAAAGATGAGACCGACAGAGCACGCTTCGTCTGATAAGACGACGAGTGAAGGGGATAACCAGTCTCAGCTGGGTGGTTTGCTCTCTGGGTTGTTTCCATCACATTCCCGACCTTCTCCCCACATACAACAGAATCCTGCTGCACAACAATCAGGAATGTTATCTGGATTCCTAAAGTTAGCTTCTGACACAGTTTCGGCTTCTACAACTCAACCAGGAGGTTCTGATGGTCAAGCCTCATCTGAAGGCCAAGGAGTCTTTTCTGGACTCTTGAGAAAAGCTACAGATTCAGTAACTGGGTCTCACAGACAGTCCGGTCAGGAGTCACAGATGGACTCATCCGATCAGCGAGCAAGAACCCAAGCAGCTGAACGAACCCCGAGTCCAGCTGCTACTGCTCAGCCTTCAGGATCTCCTGACAACGAGCAATCAGACCACGGAAAGACACAACCAGCCGCCTCAGGCCAGGAAACAAAACATCAGCAGCCTGACACCACCGCAGAAAAAACGCCTCCAAAAGCAGCAGCAGCGTCTCAACCTGGTGGACTATTTGGAGGTTTACTCAAACTCACGGAAACCGCTCCTCAGCAAACATCTCCCAACCCAGGAGGTTTGCTAAGTGGCCTGTTTGGAGTTGTTGGACAGGACACTGCTCCTGCCAACCCACCCCACCCCTCAGAAAATCAGCCCCAAATGCCTCCGCAACAGCCCCAGAGTGGCCCTGGGGGGGTGCTTAGTGGGTTTTTTACCAAAATGGCAGAAGCAGATAGGCCGCCGTCTACGCCAGCTCAGCAACAGATCCAAAGACCAAGCCCCAGGACAGCTCAGCAGCCACCCAGTCCACAGGGAGGCTTTCTGTCTGGGCTGTTTTCAGCAGGTCCTAGCTCTGCAGCCCCACAGCAGCGGCAACCTCAACAAGCAAACCGACAACCTCTTCAGAGGCAAAACCAGGTCCCACCACAAACCGCCACCACCGTGCCAGAGCCTCAGCAGGGCGGATTACTGTCAGGACTGTTTAATAAACTAGCATCCAGTGATAGTGCCCCACCACAGCCCAGCGCACTGACTGGTCCTCAACCAACCAGCAAACCTGCACAAGTTTCTAGTCACCAGTCGTCTCAAAGCAGCCAACAGGGAGGAGGATTCTTTTCAGGTCTGTTTGGACAACAACAACAACAACCTACTCATGAAATAACAAACCCGCCCCGGCAAACGTCCACCCAGCAGGCCGGTCCAGGTGGAGGCTTGCTTTCAGGTATTCTCAAGCTTGCGTCAGGTGATGATGTTCCTCCAGAACCACAGCCAGCTGAATCAGCTGTGAGCTCAGGCCAAAGTTCAGGCCAGACCGAACCGGGGGGATTATTCTCAGGCCTGCTGAACAAAATCTCTGCCACAGCAGAACAGTCCTCTTCTCCTGCTGATCAGGGAGGCCCTCAAACAACGCAGCAGCACCATCAACCGCGTGTAGGGCCGGGCAGACCGCATATTCAGAGAACTAAACCAGTAGAGGTGCAGTCCTCCCAAGAAACGCCCACCGAGAGGGAATCGAAAGGTCCAGTCCAGAAAGGCTTTCTCTCGGGTCTTTTTAGTGTGCCAGAAGAACAACCCTCCACCCCTCAGCAGCCTGTGAAGGAGGAAGCGAAGCCCACAGGTGGCTCCTCTCCCGGTTTATTATCCAGCATTTTCAGAGCAGGCTCCACTGACAGTAGCACTTCTGCGTCTGACAAGGAAAAAGGAAACGCCACTCTCAACGGTTTTGTGCCAAAAGGTGCAGAGGATGTTCCTTCAAAGACGGCAACACCAACAGCCACCTCCAGATTAGTTAATCCAGATGTTACTGCTCACAGAAATAATCTGCAGTCACAAGTTACGCAAGATCTTAGGATTTCCCCTACGCAGCGTTATCTTGAGGAAATTAAGCGTCTCTTATACGGGACAGCAGATGAGTATGGCTACAAGGACCTGCTTTACAACTTCACCGAACAAGGCGTCATTCCACCACAGCTGTTTGAGCACCAGTGCCTGATAGAAGCTCTGCTGTGGCAACAGCTCAATGATTATCTACAAGCTGAAGCCTTCGCCACTCAAGCCCACTCGGGTACCCAGACGTACCAGGGGAACACGGCACCCACAGCTTTTGCACCTCAATGCCACAACCACCTAGGGTTGAATCCCAAAGAAGTGGACATCAGTGAGTTCAATGTACCATCGCATCCTTGGAGAGACGCTGCAGCCCAGCTTTTTGAGCACAGGAGCCGTTTCCTTGAGCCAGATGAAGATCTGATTTTGTTTGATATGAGCTGCAGAGACAGGAAAACATGGAGCAGCTGTGATCACTTGAACGACCTCACCAGAGATAGGAAACCATGGATTTCGAGAAGCAGTGCTGTAAATCTCTCCACGGAAACGTCAAAGGCACGATTAAGTAGGTGTCAGTCTCTCTCGGATTGCAACGGTCAAGGGTTTTGTAAACAACATGAAAAGAGTGCCGTTAACGTAAAAGAGGAAGACTTTGATTTAAAATCAGCAACAGAGTTTTTGAAGCGCCTTGCGGTCAAAAAGGGTCCCGTTGACTTACGAAGGGGTGCTCTGGATTTGAGCAGATCAGCTGGAACGACAGGGGAGGGAGATGATGATTCTAAGTGGTACCAACAATGGCTCACACTATTAGAGCAAGGGCTGTGGTGGCCAGGTGAGGCAGGAGACTGTGGCTATTACGTTTATACCAACGAAAACTACATTTACTCTTTGCTAACCGATAAAGCAGGAAGGCATCTCTATGCTTGTGCGACAGAGGAAGATATGCGTGCTCTAGCTAACATCACTGAAAATATTACAAACATCGTCAAGCAGCAGCAAGCAGACAAAGTGACCCTTTGTGGTTTTAAAATCCCCCTCAGCGATGAAAGCGATGTCCTCTGGGTGCCAGGCAACCAGCAGTATGATTTACTGCCATCTGACGCACCCGTCAACCTGACATCCGCCCTCGAAAAAGGTGGAAAAATCATGAACATGAACCTGGAAAGCTTCTCACAGATGTTTCAGGAGTCCATAACTTCCCAAGCAGAACAAGCTGCTGATTTGACTATGTATAAGCTTAAAAAGATAAAAGTGGAGTCCATTCAAAACACCTCCACCTGTCTAGAAAAACCAGTGGAAGCAGCAGATTTCAGCTTGAAGGCTTTAAAGGGAGGGCACGGAGGACCATACTGGAAGAATGAAAGGGTCAAAGATGTCGTTGCACCTGGACAGTCTCCTAGACATAATTCAACACGACACAAACAACAGTCCATTCCTGAAATCAGGATCGCACACGTAGATGAAACCCAGGCTGGCCAATCGAGACAAAAGACAACTTCAGTGTCTTCAAAAATAATTGGAGTTTCTACTGCTGACACAAGTAACGCTAATTCATCATCTACTATGTCAACGTCTGTGTCCAGCAAGCATGCAGAGATGTCAGACGCGTCTAAAACTGCACCGCTTTCTAAAATAGCAGAAGCTTCAGGGATGGGGAGGAGACTGCCTGCACCACCTACTGGTAGTGTGGCCACTAGTTCGTCATCTCCCTTGGCACAAGTAACTACTGTTAGAAGTTTACCCAAAACATCTACATCAACTCTACCAGCTACTTCATCACAAAGGCCCCATCTTCACAGGCAGCCATCTCAAGCAGACAAATCCACAGAGTTACTTCAAGCCAACAGGACTTTTGTCAGAGGGATGAACAGTCCTTCATCGCTTGTCCAACCCAGTCCCCGGTCCCAAAAACCATCACAAGATCCCATTCAAGAGTTTGCACCACGGTTACACATACTGAATGACATGTCTGGTAAGTACACCGAAGCGTACCTTTATAACAGAAATCACAAGTCGTTTCTCCCTCCGTGCAGCTCTCAGATGGGCCACAAAGTTCTGGATTTTTCCTCTGCATCAAACAAAAACATTCATGTGGATCAGAAAGATGCTGCTGGTGCCACCGTTGTGCCAGAACATACCCATGAGAATGAAATAGTCGACTTCACCAAGTACAAAATGAAACGATTTAAAGAAAAAAAGCGAGTTGCAACTGAATTTACTGAAGCGACTGGTGAGACAATAACTGTTGTAGATCTTACTAAAGAAACTGAAGAAGATGAGGTTAAGTGGCCAGAGTCTGAGTGCCCTGATGTGAGCCCACTGCACGATGTACGTCAGAGCAAACGGCTTAAGGCAGTCGACCAACAAAACCAATCTGTGAGGAGTCTGTATAGACCTGAGGTGGTAGAGTGTTCAGTCAAACCTCCGGTCCTCTGCTGTCCATCTGCAGGAGCTAAAGCACACCCGGCTCCTCCTAATGCCTCTGATAAATGTGCAGAAGATACCTCCGTCAAGCTGACGTCTACATCTGCCTCACTGCCAAAGGAATGCAACGCTTATAGTTCATCAGGAAAAACAAGCTCCACAGTTGCGCCTGTTTCCAGTAAAGAATCCAATCTTAAAGGCGTTACTCAAGCAACTGAGCCAGCACTGCTCACACTGACCTCAGCACAGCAGCACATTTCCAAGCAGCACCGTTCTCCAGCAGTTACAACCGGTGGGACACAGCCCGTCCCCACAGACACCAAGAGGGCAACTGTTGCCTGTCACTTTGGTATCACAGGTCAACGGTATCAGAGAGATACGGCACCAGCAAACCTAGTTAAAGTCACACTAGATACGTCTGTCAAGACAAGGCATCCGATGCAACCAAGTGTCGTGCCCACCAGTGATTCCGTCTGTGAGGCAGTGCCACTGACCCAAGGAAAACCGGTAGCTTGTGTGGAGACAAATCAAAGTTTGAATCAACTGGAATCCCTTGACTTGACATATAATGCATCCTCCCCAGAGGGTATACAAGAGAAGAGAGAATACGTTTGTCCATCACCTCCCAAGGAACCAACCAATTCAGGGAAAGATGTTACTTGTCTATCAGCTGCCACCACAAAGGAAATTGATCAAAACATGTATGTCCCCTCCAAAAGTCAGTCTAGAAGCTCTAAGTTTTGTATAGCTACCAACGCACACCGGACTCTGGAGCATCCTCTTCAGTGCCCCTCAGAATTCCTTCAACAACGATTTCAGCAGGGCCAAAGTGGAGACCCAACACGCTCCGTTCTGTCATTGACCATGGAACTGGCGTGTAAAACATTCCCTTCAAAAGAACACGCAGTTACTGGAGTGTTGGATATGTCACCCAAACCAACTGTAGCCGATCAGGAAAAGGGAGTGTCCCAAACAGGGTGCACTCCAGATGAAGCCGTTCCTCTTGTTAATAAGCCAAGTGCAAGGGCAGTTGCCAGGAGAGCTTCTGTGGGCATTCCTCTGATAGTTGAGCAAAGTCTTCTAGACTCAAAAAGCCAAGTGAGGTCTCAAAACACCGATCAAAGAACAGACAGTAATACTGATCCGGGTCCAAAGCGGCACCTTTTCAGCGATACGACTATACAATGCTCAGGTGTTCCTCAGTCTTTTGTCAAATCACGTTTGCTCAGTACAGCTCCAGCAAACTCGGTCACAGGCACATTAGATATGTCAACAAAGACGGCTAAACCGAATGCTGTCATCTCTTGTTCAGATCCGGTATCACTTGTTTGCACAAGGCGATCAAGCTTATCCGACTCTCAAAGGGATTCTGTTGGTGTCCCATTAATTGTGGAGACATACCATCCTCCGGAGTATTCTAGGAGACGACACAAAGCAGTGGCAGAGTCCCAGGCTGCAGGGTTTGCGTGCTGTAGATCTCAGGAAACATCAGGACCGGCCAACACAATCAGAAGCTTCTTAGACATGTCCTCAAGGTTGAGACAGCAAGAGGCTGAATCGACTTCTATTACGCTCTCGTCTGAAGCGTTGCCACTGGTCAGAAACAAGGCAGATGTTGTAGGAAGCTGTTCAGCTGGTCTACCTCTCGTAGTGGAGCAATTTGCATGCCAACAAGGAAGACAAGTTATGACTGGAGTTCATACGACCGAGTCTCTGCACAGACGGATGTCTACCTCTCATCGTAACGGTGACATTTCTTGGCCTAATGCAAACTACAAGAACACACGACAACCAAACACACCTGTGGATTTCTCTGCAAAAGACAGTCCAATCACGAGTATACGTTTAAGGAGTCACGTTGAAGTGATGGATGGAGAGCCCATGAACTTCACTAGTGTGAAAGTAAAGAAAGAAGCTTCGGAAAAAAGACCGACTGAAAAGCTGTTTCAAATCCAAGAGCCAGCTGGTCTTGTAGACCTGAGTGTAGATCTTCTACAGAAAACCACTGACACTCAAGGTGCAACAGATTATACTTCTCCTCATGCTAAAGTCCCATCCCTACCCTGTCTTCAACAGTATTTACCTGCAAACATCATCATGGAAGTCAAAAAGGACGTCACATTTTCTCAAACTCAAAACTTGTCACAATGTGGAGGTTTTCCATCTGACAAGCAGATGACCACCCAACCCGGAGCTGGAATACATTTAGAGCCAGAAAAGTCTTCTCATCGTGTCGCCCCCCGGGCTCCACAGACCAGTGAAGCTACTCACGTGTCACTTAGTTCTGCATATCAACAGGACAGCGGTGCTCATGTCGAGTCAAAGGAACCTGAACATGTTTCTCAGGTCAAATCTCGACCAACAGTTAAAAACTCAGCTCAACAACAACATTATCAGCACCGTTACGAGAATATTCCAGTCTCTGAGCCCAAACCACCAACATCCCAAAGACAGGATGTAGCTTCCCAGCATGACTTATCCCGTCGGCCTAGAATTCTCATCAAGCAGGCTACGGTGGACAGTTATGGGAGCACAGAAGAATGCAAAGAAGATGTAAAAGTGATGAGTAGTACACCTGTTCCATGCTCTGTCCACCAACAGTTGGGTGGGTCCCAAACGGTTTCCACTCCTTTGCATTTGAATGCTAAATCTGATCGTGCCCTGCCATCTGGAGTGGGACAACTTGTGCAAAGCCAAAGCACTTCAGCCGCTTCAGCAAAAGGTCCTTTTCAGCTCCCCGACCCACCGGACTTAAGTCAACAGCACGTCACTGTCCAGCGTCCTCCTGCTCAGATTCCTTCTAGTATCATTGATTTAGGCCAACATGCGTCACAAGTTTGTGCAAATGAATCACAACCAAGTCCACTGGCAGCAGTTCAATTGCAACACATGCGTCAGAATCAGGGCCTTATATCTGAACCTCAACAACCGTGTGCACAGTTCCCACCAGCAGGACCATCCTCTGTCAAGGGTTTGATTTCAATGTTTAGTAGTTTGAGTTCACGATCACCCACTAACGGAAATTCAGCTGCTGCTGCCCCCCAACAGGCCAAGATGATGTCTAAAGGTGTGGATCTCAGTTCACAAGCTTCACCACCACAAATACCTACCACCATTATGCAACATCCAGTCCCCTCAGTTTCCTGTGCTGTAGAAACAGGTGAGATGATTGCCTCATGCGCACAAACTGCTGATGTGTCAACCTCTCCCCCTTTTACAGCAGTCCTTGTGCAAAGCCATGGCGAATCTACACCACTGGCTTCTGAAGGCAAATTAGATTTAGCATCTGAACTGTTTAAGGATCAATCTGCAGCCAGACATACAGAGCCGACTCCAGCACCACCAGTCATCGCTGAATCACAGCCTAGGTGCTTGATTTTAACTGAGATAAGCCAAAAGGCATCACTGATGGATACCTCCACCAGAAATGCACCGTCGTACGGCTTCGGGCCTACTTTTGTTTCTCAGGAATCTCGCCATCCAATCAATTTGCCTCAAACTCCCCAAGTTAAACCACCAAACAACACGTTAAAAAGTGAAGATGTTGATGGCTCCAGAGAAGTTTCACAAACATTACCAGAGGCTACACCGACAGAAATGACCCCAGAAATATCAGCCACGATAAATAAGAGGTCGGTCTCAGAGTCTGACGCTTCCAGACAAGCTTCGGAAGAGACTAAACAAAATGAACCTGCACCGTTGGTCGCCGTCAGTGCTGGAGTTGATGGGAGTTCTTCTGTAGGAGATGGACAACAACCAAAGTCAGTCTACATTGGCATAAATTCCTCAGGCATGCATCCTGCCAGTACGGAAAATGAACCAGATCAGCCAAAACCCTACGTTAGACTACCCCACATTTTTGTTTCAGCAGCAAGTTCACCAGAAGAAGAGACCAGTGAACTTGGACCTTGTGAGGGTAACAAACCAGATGTTCCACAAGTTGATGCGGTTGAGGATTTCACTTCTCATACAAATGTTTTACCAGAAAATATTGTTGAACGTTCTGATAAATCAGAGGACTCTAGTGCAAAAATAAGCAGCATTATCAAAGATTCTGTTGAAGAAAATGTTGAGGAGGGCAAGACCTGTTTTCAAGAAGTTCATCTCCCTACAGCTGAGCAGAAGCCTTCAAAGGAGCGGGACTCTCCGCACATCCTGAATGAAGAGGGCACAGCTGTTGATGCTACTCTCGCTGATGTTGACGTGGAGCCAGAGCCTACCGAGTCTCACAAACCAACCCCAGACACAGCCTCAGCAGAAGAAACCATGCCCCCCAGGGCCCTGGCCAGTCCGAATGAAAACATCACTTCTGCAGACACAACACAAGAGTCATCCTTCCAGGATGAAAACATTTCTTCAAATGCTGATTTTTCTGAAAAACCGCGTAGAGAGGACGTGTGTCTGACAGAAAAAGAGTCAGCTGAAGAACGTCTTAATGAGAAAGGTGAAGTAGGTGCTACTTTATCTGGACCTGAACCTCCTCCCATCATTCCTCCCACAGAGGAAACTGCTGTGTCCACCAAGGATGGGACAGCTACCAAAGGCAGTTTTCCCGAGACCCGACCAGATAAAGAGCCAGCAGAAAGGGGCATCTTCTCTCTGTTCAGTGATTCCACCACAACTCATCAACAGTCCTCCCAAACTGGATTATCAACACTTGGGGGCATTCTTCCTGGCTCGTCTACCAAAGACACTCCTGGGACAGGATTGCTCTCAATGTTTGGTGGGTCAAATGCCCCATCTTCATCTCAATCTAAAGGGACACAACCACAATCTACTCCACAGGAGCCACATGGAAAAGGACTGTTTTCTATGTTTAGTGGTTCCAGTGTTCAACCACCCTCTGGCCCAAGAGGTGCAAATGCTGGAAACGTGTGTCCTAGAGGTCCTCCGCCCAAAGAGCCTCCAGGAAAAAGCCTGTTTTCTATGTTTGGTGCATCTGCACCGCAGCAACCATCAAGTCCCAAGGGTCATCCAGGTGTTGGTCTCCCACCAAGAGGACCCTCTAATGAGTCTTCTCTTTTTGGTGGGATCCTATCAGGTTCTGCAACACAAAAAGCTTCCCCAAGTACCGGATTGTTTTCCAAGCTCGGCAGTCTTGGTGCTCAACTCCAAACGGAACCTCAGGTTTCCACACCGGGACCCAGTGCACCAGATGTCTCAGGGAAAGGACTGTTCTCCATGTTTGGTGGACAACGTCAACCAACAGACTCTAAACCAAACGCCTCAGATACTGGTTTCAAAGTGTCTTCTGTGTTCTCACTTGGAGGGAATTCTGACAGCAATAAATCAAAACCTGGATTTGGTCTATTTGGAAAGTCGTTTTTAGAAGAGCCAGAAAAACATGCCGCTGCCAGAGAGGACGCTGCGTCGCTGCAAAAAATACCCACAGACACTGAAGCTTCTTCAGAGGAAGTGAAAGATGAACATATTCAACGTGTCACAGTTGCAACATCTGAGCCTCTTTCTGCATTATCGGTTAAGGAGGAGCTCCAAGGAAAGCAGGCATGTCCAGAAGTCCAGGACTCTTCTGAAGACACCAATAAAAAGGAAACGGAAAACTCTGTTCAACAGTTGGATCTGTGTGTGGACACGAAGAAACAAACAACGATCCAGGGAAACCTCTCTGGTGACCAGACTGCCTATCTGATAGATGAAACCTCTGCCACAAGCATGCTGCTCTTGACAAGTAATCTACTAGAGAAAGAGTTGGTAGAAGAAAATGAGGACACACCAAGTGCAGTGGCTGAACCAGAAACTGCCGCCAGCACAAACACTGAACGTGACATAGAAGCAACCATTCACTTGTCTGAAAACGGATCAAGGTCGGATGAAATATCAGTCATTTCTGGCCAAAGTGATGAAGAAGATGTAAACTCTGTCGGTGAGGACGAATTAAGATGTTCAAAGACAGAAAACCAAATTCAGAAGATTGCTGTTGAAGAGCAGACTGCTGCTGTGGAGGTGGAAAGCTCTCTCACACTTTGTATTGAAGAGCAAAAAGCAGAAACGGAGAAGGACCAATCATTTACGAAACCTCTGGAAAGTAACGACAAAGAACTTCTCTCAGCTGCAGATGTAGGAAAACTATCAGAAGACACTTTGAAAAATGAGGCTGAGGAACAATCAGCAGCTGATGATGTTGCCAAATCATCTAATGCCAATTTGGAAATCACTGGAAGTCCAGAAGCCACAGAAGTAGAAAAAATATCTCATGAGGCTTTAGAGATAGCGAATGACGAACAAACAGTGGTCACAGACAAAGAAATGGCAGAGAAGCCATCTTCAGAATCACCTGAGAAAGACTTCAAGTTACCATCTGATGATCCTGGAACTGAACCGATGGAGCAAAAGTTCAAGAAAACTTGTGAAGGTGCTACTGTTGCAGTGGTCTCATTATCAACTGAAGAAGAACCTCTTGGGGGCAACACAGTACTGCTGACCGGTCCTCCACCACAACATCATCCGAGCCCAGGCATGGCTAGACCCCCGGGCCCACCAAGACAACAAATGGGATCCCCAAGAACAGCAGGACCAAGAACAGCAGGACCAAGAACAGCAGGACCAAGAACAGCAGGACCAAGAACAGCAGGACCAAGAACACCAGGACCAAGAACAGCAGGACCAAGAACAGCAGGACCAAGAACAGCACAAAAGCCACCTGAAGCAGCTCCATTTTCTGGCTTCATGTCTATGTTTTCTGCCCCAAATGCACCAAGCAAATCAACTGTAGGGGGATTTTTTTCAAGTTCACCTGGATCTCTTTTCGGCTCATCGCCCACTCCTCATCAACCACAACAACAACAACAACAACAACAGAAAAGCTCCTTTTTTGGGATTCCCAGTACGAATGCAGCAGAGTCCATCACTAGTGAAATTTTTGGTTTGTTCAAAAGTCAAGAGACAGCAAAGCCTCACGAACCTCAACAGTCTGGCACAGATCCTGGACCAGCAGAACCTTCTGCTGACATGAAATCAGAGAAGACTGAAAATGCAAACGTAGAGAGTGCTCCTTTAAATGAAGATAAACGTGTTGACAGCTGTGAAGACTGCGAGGTACCTGAGAAGGAGCTGGTGGAAGAGGCAGAAAGTAAAGACGGAATAGAAGAAGAACGTACTCCCACTGGAACTCCCATTAATCCAGTCCGACTGTCAGGAAACAGCGACCTAGCGGAGTGTGCAGGGGAACCGGGCTCTCAAGTGTCTTACAAAGATGCCCCACCCACATCTCCCAAAAGCAAGGGCCTATTTGACATACCCAGTCTGACCGCCCCTACATTTGGTTTTATGCCTGCAGGCACATCGTCCTCTGGTTCACGTTTCTCCACAACATCTACAGCATCTTCTGATTCATCACCACAGCCACAACAGACAGACGGCGGTCTCCTTTCAGGCTTCAGAAGCCTTTCGGCTGGTATTTTTCAGGAAGAAAAGCCAGGCAGGCTTGAGGAAACATTAGGTGCCTCATCGGTGTTTGGCTTGAAACTGAGCTCGGTCTTTGGCACCTCCGACTCCACCAAACCCAAATCCAGCTCTCCTCTGGTCCCGTCTCAACCCCAGCCCGGAAGTCCAAAACAATGGGATGAATCTAGTGTGCCAGCTTCTGAAAAAGCATCTCCAGGTTCTGGAGAGACTGAAAGTGCAGACGCTAGCGACACAGAAGAGCCAACAGACACATCAAAAACAGGAAGCTGTGATACCTTAGCACACACACCACCGTCCGGCCTCCCCTCTCTCTCTGGCTCTCTATCAGAATGTTTGGATAAACCTCTAGAGGTGATCCCACCATGTGAGTCACACAAGAGCGAAGTAACCACCCCTGACAGCGAGCACACAGATCTGGGATCAGATCTACCCAAGGAGCTGCTGGCCACGGACGCTGCACCAAGGCTAGTATCTGCACGATGAACGACACCGTGTTCCTTCATCATGCTGTTGTAGATGCACATAGAGTCTGTGTCCTCCCCTTTCATTCACTCATCAGCTATAGCATCATGACCATCAACGTGTCCAAAGAATCCGGTCTGAGTCTTAAACCTGTGTTCTGGCGTCGCCGTAGACGTCCCTCGTCATTTAGCACCCTCGTTAAACATTCTGAGGGCCAATCTGTGGTCATGTTGCTACGGCTGACTGAGGTGGTTTCTTCTGCTCGAGTCCTTCTCCAGCTTTCCCTAGTTTCAAGTATAAACATTCATCATCAAGGAAAGAAAAATCCACAGCAAGACACAGAGAATGATCACATGCGATGCGATGCTCACCACTGAGTTTATACGGCAGGTGCCCCCCCTCATTACCCAGAGATGGTAGGGTTAGCCCCTCCCCCCTCCGTCACTTGTCTTGGCCGGTTTGTTTAAACGAATGAAACTCGGGCAGATGAATGATGGCGTTGCAGTAAAGCCGTGGAGACAGCCTGGACGGGGGGACAGAAAAGGAACAGCGAGAAGTCATTTGGCCAACAACCAAGATGAATAAATCCTTCCAGTTAAACCACAAAGCGTCTCTCGGCCCGTGAGCACTCACACCTCTCCCTCTCTCCACTCAAGGAGCTTATGTTTCACCGCTAAGAGGCACCTTCACTTGTGTTTAAGTGATATCACACAATCATCTTAATGTTTCGTGCTAATTCATACGATCGTTACCGAAACCTTCCATTTATCTACATTTCTGGTGCTGATGCGAGATTCAGCTGCGCACGTTTTCAGTCTGAGTGGAGAAGAGCTGCGCCGTCGGCTGGATCCGTGATTCATCTCTAAATGAACACAAAGACAATAGAAGAAAACATTTCATTCGCCACGTTCCTCTTTGCATACGTGCATTATTTAGTGAAGTTCTCTCCCTTTGCAGTTGTTTAGCAGATGAATGAGGGCACACCATGTCGCCCCTCTGTTCTGCCAAGTTGTAACCCTCACACACTCTGCAGCTTGGCATCCAGACGTAATTATTCCATTTCCAAGCACCGGCACTCCTGAGAAGAAGCCCTAGCAGGCTTCCATAGCAGCTTTTCTCGGTTTTATTAAGCGCTCTGCTGTCTTTTTCCCATTAAAGTTGCATCCAAATGCATTTTTATTCCTGAATAATATCTGATTGTTGCGCTGAAAAGCCTGATGAGTTTAGTCTGATAAAAAATAAGCTTCATCAGAGCTAAAAGCATTTCTGCCACCTGCTGGCACTCAGTGGTAACTGCATTTTCCTCACAATAACGGAAAACTGCAAAAACACCAGATGGAAGCCCAGCGCTGGCCAAGTGAGTCTTTTTAGGGTTTTTATTAAAGTAAAGTCACAACTGTAAAAGGACGGGACCCCGTCGGTGTCTAGAGCAGTGGCTCCCCACCCGGGGTCCGCAAGCCCCCAAGGGGGTCCCAGTAATTTAGTCTCTGCTGAGGTCACCAAGGTTACATTCGTAAAACCATGTTTTCCAATCCCAATAACACACCCAGTAGGATCATCAATACTGGGGGTGGGAGGTGGGGGTGGGGGGGCCCTGGCGTGTCTTTGACACAGGTGAGGGCCTCAAGGAAAAAGTTGGGAACCTCTGGTCGAGAGCAGCTCTTAGCGCTCTTATTTTGATGAGCCACACCAAAATGGTGTGATTTCCTTCTGAAGTGTCAAGAGTGTAGTTGAGGTTAGGACCCGACAAGGAGATGAGACCTGGGGGGGCGCCAGGTAAGGTCACATTTAAAGAGTCTTTATTAGCAGCAAGAAAAGTCAGGAAGTGCAAGACAACACGAGGAACCGCGAGGGACCCGTGGACGGAGCTGGACTAACGGAGGTGAGTGGAGACCAGGGAACAGGTCTGGACTGAAACTGAAACCAGGAAGGATGAGTGTGAGCTGCATTTCTGTCCACACCTCTGCAACAAGTCCATGAAATGTCTGCAAAACAAGAAGGAAGGCAGACTAGTCAGCTAGAAACGTGCAGTCGTACAAGGCAGCTTTAGTTATACCGCACATTTCATACACAGAAGCAATCCAGTGTGCTTCTACATCGTCTCGGCGGCGGCGGCGGTGACGCGCAGCTTCAGCATCGAACGGCTGGTCTAATAAAGCTGCTTCTTAACACTCCGAACCTACAGAAAGTGTTTTTCACATATTTGTAGAAAACGTCTGTAAATGATCACCATCGTTCCCCATCTGTCTGGTAAGAGTTCGATCTTCTTTTACATTAAGAAGTTTTTGTTTTCCCCTCAAATGTAAGAACTGAATAAATCAGAGCGTAAACGAGCCGCTCAACAACCACGGGAGGAGAGTAAATGTCAAGCCTGTTTCCTCACCTGACCTTCCCCTTGTCGCCCTCAACCTTTCTGAAGCTCCTCTCTGGTGGATCTGAGGACTTTTGCGGTGAAACGTTTTATTCCAAAGTTCTCTTCTCACAGCTGAATCTCTTTACCTCTGTCGTGATCCCAGTTGTACAAAAAAGCATTTTTATCTCGAACTTTGGAATAAAAGGTTTTATCCTGTGTTTGCTGTGAAGCAGAGAGAATGATTTTGTTGTTCTGCAGCTCGCTGGACTCCCCTGGAGACCTCAGTCCCGTCAGCTGCCAGCTCAGTGCTGAGGCCGACGACCCCCGGCCCCCTCTCTGGGTCCGGTCTCCTAAGGGGGCTGTGGATGAAGAACAGGACAGGGAAGTGAACGGTGTTCCAGAACCTGGTGCCAATGCAGACCTGAAGGATTCGTCGGCCGTCTCTCCCAAGCCGGCGTTGGACCACCACGAGAACCAGAACCAGAACCAGACTAAAACCGGGTACGCTGCGAGAGAGCCAGGATGTTTTTTCCTACATCAAAGTCCTTCTTTATCGTCTGTCCTGCATGATGGTCAAACATCTGACTTCTTCTTCATGTTGTCTCAGTTTGTTGGGTCGCGGCCCTCCTGCCTGCTCTCCATCGAAGGTCCGCTGGCTGAAGGCTTACAACAAAGTGAGGGGGAAGCTTCTGGAGGTAGGAGGACTGGTTTCTGTCCTCTTTATTCGTCGCTCTCTCTGACACACAGCAGGCTTACCGTCTCCTCTCCCTGTGGGTTGGTTGAGTTTGCAGTCATGCCTCAGCGATCTGCACCAATTTTGTTGTTTCCTCTTTGATCTGAGGAACCAGAAAAGGGTAGGAGGCCTTCTCCGTACCTGTGTACGGCAGCCTCTTCTCTGCCGGTGTGTCCCAGGGCAGCTGTAGCTACAGTGTAGCTCATCACCACCAGGGTGTGAATGTGTTATAAAGTACCTCAGGGGGGTTCTAGGACTCTAGAAGGTGCTGTATCAAATACAGGCATTTACCATTTGAATTGAAGTCTAATCAGTGAGAGAAGAAAGTAGAACATATAAAAACATGTTTGTGGGTCTGAAAGACAGATGAGTGTTTTAGGTGTGAAGTGACCTTCACACGGTCATGTCTCTAGTAATAATTCACTTATTATTACTGATATGGATCCGGTTTGGTGGCCTGAGGATCAGGTCTCTGCTTTTTGCAGATGATGTGGTCCTGTTGGCTTCATCAGAACGTGATCTCCAGCTCTCGCTGGAGCGGTTTGCAGCCGCGTGTGAAGCAGCTGGGATGAGAATCAGCTCCTCTAAATCTGAGACCGTGGTCTTGATTCAGAAAAGGGTAGAATGCCTTCTCCGGGTCAGGGATGAGGTCCTGCCCCATGTGGAGGAGTTTAAGTATCTTGGGGTCTTGTTCACGAGTGAGGGAAAGCTGGAGCATGAGATCGATAGGCGGATTGGTGCTGCATCTGCAGTGATGCGGGCGTTGTACCGGTCTGTCGTGGTGAAGAGAGAGCTCAGCTGATAGGCGAAGCTCTCGATTTACCGGTCGATCTACGTTCCTACCCCCAAACCTTGGATGAGCAACAGAAGGTGGGCTAAAGTCTTTGTGACAGTTTGATTCAGGCATCCATGATTTAGATCTTCTTCATAAGAACTAAGCATTTGGGTTTTAGCTCAGTAGAACCTCTAAAGCCTAAAAACATGAAATGAAGTCAAATAAATAAATAAATGGGTGGACGGATGGATGGAAACCCTTAATAGATAACAGGTGTCCTCAAATGACCTCAGGTGGTTGAAAACATATTAATGTTAGAAAAAAATCTTTATTTTCTGATGATTCGGTTCCTTTAAACTCGGTTAGAAGCTGATTTTATCTGAAGGGAAAATAAAACCAGGAGGAAGCTCGAGTCGTTTTGGAGACCGAGTAGAATAAAGGTTTGTGAATAAAGACGCGTTTCTGGGACATTCCTCAGGGCCGAAGGGGAAGCTCCGGGTCCAAAGGCTCTTTTCAGCAATGCAGAACCAGAAAGCGAGCCAGAACCGGACCAGACGGAGGAGTTAAGTCTAAACTCCAGCTTCAGAAGGAAGGCATGGCTCCAGGTTTGCTGCTGGCCAACAGTTATCACATTAAAGACAAAAATAGTCTGGAGTCAGCATTGTAGCTTGGCAACAGCAGCACAAGCTATGGAAACACAACTTTACATTTATACATGATCCGGCTGGTGGTAACTCCGGTTTCTGTTGATGTTTATAACATTCTGGATTAAACCTCGAATCCTTCCTGGTGAAACACCTGAGTTATGAATCTGCTCACATCATCCCTTCCTCTACACGCTGTTCTCTGGGATAATCTGTAATCCTGCTCTGAAATCCGCCAGATTACCAGGTAACAGCAGCAGTTTCCACTAGTCAGCTAACGCTGAAACTTCACTTTGAACCCAGAAGATCTAAAATGTTTGATAAGCAGGAGAATGTGTTTAAACGGCTTCGCCGCCTCTGCTTCTGCAGACTCAGAGACCCGTCCCTGAGAGTGTTTCTCTGTCGTCTGATTAAAACCCGTTACGTCTCGTCGTGCAGTTGAGAAAGCAGCAGTTTTATAACAAGAACAGGTGAGAGTCTGGATGAAAGGCGGAGCTTTGTTTGGTGGCGCTGCAGAAGCTCTGAAAGGCGCAAACACCTCCGACCACGTTATGAGAAGTTTAAAGCTGTTCTAGTGTCCTCGTTTTGGAAAAAGATCATTTCAAAAAGGTTATTTTTGTTAACACTTATTTGGTAATCTAACGTGGGCCTAAAGCCCCGCAGATCTGTTTTATTATTATAAACACCGACAGCAAACAAATCAGTCGCTGATCCAGCGTGGTTTAAATAGTTGAAATAGTTCTGTTCATTCACACGTTAAACCACGAGCTCTGCCCAGCTGAACAGATCAGCCCACGCTAGGGCTGGGCGATATGGCCTAAACTCAGCATCACGACATCTTGAGGATTTCACCTCGATAACGATAAATGGACGATAACTACGGGTATGCGCAGAGACAAAAGTTGTCCACTAGATGGGGCTGTCACAGGTACAGCTTCTTAAAGGGACAGGAACGTTGCCAATCTCCACACATCTTTTCATTTTTTTATTATTAAATTTATTGACTTGGGGAAAATGTTCTCGATAAGAGTCAGAAATTTTGATAACGATACATTTTCGGTTTATATCCAGCCCTAGCCCACGCGTAGGGCACCAAGTGGCCAGGGCCCCCCGAGCCTCGCCCACTCAAACATCGCCCTCTATGGAGTGAATCCGCGTGTGTGTGTGTGTGTGTGTGTCCATCCATTTTCTTTTGCTTATCCTGAGTCGAGTCGTGGGGGCAGCAGCCTAAGTCGAGAAGTCCAAATGTCCCTCGTTCCAGCCACTTGGACCAGCTCCTCCAGGGAAATCCTAAGGCGTTCCCTGGCCAGCCGAGAGACATAGTCCCTCCAGCAAGTCTTGGGTCTTCCTTTAGGTCTCCTCCCAGTTGGATGTGCCCGGAAAACCTCACCAGGGAGGCATCCAGGAGCCAAACCAGACGCCTAAACCACCTCAACTGGCTCCTCTCAGTTCGGACAAATGTGGGCTCCCACGCTAAAATGAAAAAGATTAAAGTCTCTTTCTGGAGTTTTTCTCTTACCCGATGGCACCATCTAGTGGCCGACAAGCATATCACACAAATAATTTCTCCCGTTTTTTTAAGATGGCGGCTTCACGTTTCTGTTTATGAATGTGCTTCTGTAGCCGACAAACAGCTCAAACACGTTGTTTCACGAGTATTACTCTCATGTCATGTTGTGTTCTCATATTTATATTTTAGAGACTTACGTGTCCGTGAAAAGTTCACCAACTCTGCATCAGCCGAGGTATTCCTTAAATCCTATTCCTATTGCACGGAGCTCTGCGGGGCAGGGGGCGTGTTTAGCAAAAACAACATCACCGTACACGATGAGGTGATCACTTTTATGGATTTCTGTAAAATATATTTTTTACCATGAGAAAAAATAGGACAGCTTTTACAGGGTATCCGCAGGTCCTTGAAAAGTCTTAAAAAGTCTTAAATTAGCTTTTCCTAATTTAAGGCCTTAAAAGTCCTTAAAATGACAAATAATCCTTAAATCCAGTTTCTACAGGTCTTAAATGACCAAAGACCCAATAAACAAGATTATTTTCTTTCCATAAAATTTTTGTGAATTTCTTGTCAGTGTTCAGCATTTTTGGTGTATGATTTTGGCGTAAGCGGAACCGTACACAGTCAGTTGGTTGTGAAAGGGGGCTATTTTTAAATGAGCACATTAGCTGGTTAAGCTAGTGGGAGCTTGCGCCATGGGGAAGGGCAAGTTTAATGGTAACTGGATGGCTAATCCCACGTTCGCGACGTGGTTAGCAGCGGTTCCTAGGAAATAGCTGGAAATTATAGCTTAAATTTGGTCAAAGTGGCCTTAAAAAAGGTCTTAAAAAGTCTTAAGTTTGGCCCCCTTAAACCTGCAGAAACCCTGTTTTAACTTTCTTCAAAAATAATTGTGTGAGTGAGTG